GTCATGTTCATTGCATGTTCAGTCTAGTCATGTTCATGGCATGTTCAGTCTAGTCATGTTCATGGCATGTTCAGTCTAGTCATGTTCATGGCATGTTCAGTCTAGTCATATTCACTGAGTGTTCATTCTAGTTATGTTCACAAAGTTGATCTAGTCATATTTATGGAGCTTTCAGTCTAGTCATGTTCACAGAGTGTTCAGTCTAGTCCTGACTTTGGAGTTTTCAGTTTAGTCATGTTTACATGTTGTTTGGTCTAGTTATGTTTATAGAAAGATATATCCTTGTATGGTTGTTCACTGTTGACTTACAGCAATCAGAATCACTGTGTGACTCTCAATTGCTATGTGTTTAACTTTTCCTACTGTACTCCTTAAGAACACGTAGAAATTTGGTCAAAATCGTTGTTCCACTGTTGTTTATTTTTGGGATTTATAATGTTTGCGAGAACAGTAAGTAATAAATGTGGCATCCCTGCCCAATCTCCTGCAAATCCCCTGTAATTAAAAACAAAAAAGACATAGTTGTCTTCACTAACGACGTTGCTTCCTGCATGTTCAGGTGCAGTACCCGCAGAGTAAGGCATACAGAATGAGTAAGGTGCGCGACCTGCCGCCTGTGTCCGGCTCCATCATCTGGGCGAAGCAGATCGACCGGCAGTTGCTCGCCTACCTACGCCGCGTTGAGGACGTGCTCGGCAAGGGCTGGGAGAACCACGTAGAGGGCGCCAAGCTGAAGAACGACGGCGACAGCTTCCGCATGAAGCTCAACATGCAGGAGCTGTTTGACGACTGGGCGCGCAAGGTGCAGCAGCGGCAGCTCGGCGTGTCCGGCAAGATCTTTGCGATCGAGTCGCAGCGTTCGCGCGCCACGGGCAAGCAGAGCGTGCTGAGGCTGAAGGTCAACTTTCTGCCCGAGATCATCACGCTGGCTAAGGAGGTGCGTAGTGTGTGGTATGTGGTATGTGGTATGTGGTATCTGGTTCTGGTATGTGGTGTGGTATCTGGTTCTGGTATGTGGTGTGGTATCTGGTTCTGGTATGTGGTGTGGTATCTGGTTCTGGTATGTAAAGAATTCGGGAAAATTGCGAGCATCTTACATACCAGTGCAGCTGTGTTCTGTTGGCTGTAGCTGATGCCCAAGATGCAACATCAGAAATCTGTATAATGAACAAACTGGACTATGTATCCACGATGTTCTGCACCATAACAGAAACAACTCTTATTTGTTTGTTTTTTCTAATTTAACCGTAATGTTCATGAGGACAGTAAACATTTTGGGCCCGTTTGTTTTGGGGCAGATACGTCTGAACAGGATCAATTGGTCCTGATCTGCCCAAGCAATTGCAAACTCACTTCCAATAGATCACTGTTCGCAGTGACCCATCGCAGGATGGTTCACAACAAACAACAAGCAGTGATTGGTTGGGTCGTAGGCCACTATATTCAATCCCCTTTGAATCCATGTCGCCAGGAGGTTCAGTGATGCGGTTTGTGGTGCAGATCACTGACGGTTGAAACAAATGCACAGGATCTCTGGGTCTGTGTGATCAGGATCAAATAATCTGCCTAAACAAATACGCCCATCATTTTGTAGTTCAGTGATTCTATATTGCAGCTGCATGCCACTTATATGGGTTCTATATGACTACAATGTTTTGCCAATGCAGGTTGGTCTTGAGAAGGATTCTGACATGGAAGCAACTTACAAAAACCTGCTGACGAAGCTGCCAGAGGGGCCTATTGTGCTGGAGGATGCCTACACAGCCATCGAAGACATACTCAACAAGGTGGAAGACTATGTCAAGGTAGGTGCAGTGATAGATAAAAACCCAGTTTAATATAGTTTGCTGAACCTCAGGTTAAAATAGGGAAATAACCTAGGTCATGCATCTGTTGCCTATATGTATACATATAGGCAACAGATGCATGACCTAGGTTATATCCCGATACATGTATCATGTCTTGCGCAGTGCCATTATAAGATAATTGTGTAATCGCTAAACCCTATTATATGCACATTTCTGTGCAAGACCAGTGCAGTTATGTAGCGATATCTTACCCGTTACAACATAAATTGATGATGTTTCGCTAATTTATAGCGAATTATAATTTATTATCACACAAGTGAGGGGGAAAATTGGGGGTGGGAAAATGTCTATCTTTGCAATGTGTTATATTATTAAATGTGTTGCAGATCTGGTTACGTTACCAATCGCTATGGGACCTTCAGCCTGAGAATGTCTACAGCAGACTGGGCGATGACCTCAATTTGTGGATGAAGGCACTGGTTGACATCAAGTAAGTGTTGTCATACATAAATAGCGATGTTTATATGTATATCGGTTATGAAAAGAATTCTATATTTTGGAAATTACAATTCGTTACTCAACAAAACATTCAATGGCATAACTGAATATTTTGTACAATATCTATTTATTCACCATTTTATAAGATGGATAGATATGCAGGTAGATAGATAGATATGCAGATAGATAGATAGATAGGCAGGCAGGCAGGCAGGCAACCAAAAATGGTATAATGCATATACCTTGTTATTCATGATTCTGGTTTTAGTTGTGGCAATAACGTACGTGTTGTCACAGGATGTAACAGCATAGGTAAAGGATAGAACAGGTTCTGAATTGAACCACACAAGTAGTTACAAAGCCCAAAAGGTAATATGTAAGTTTAAAAATCTCTTAGGAAAGCACGTTCCACGTTCGATACGACCGAGGTTAGGAAGGAATTTGGTCCTGTGGTTATCGACTATGCAAAGGTGCAGAGCAAGGTTAGCCTCAAGTATGACTCGTGGCACAAGGATGTCCTGAGCAAGTTCGGAAGCCATCTTGGAATTGAGATGTCAGATTTCCACGGGACTATATCGAAGGTATAGTTTAGATAGCGTTCGACATATTAATACCATGTTATTCTTTAATGGTATGATCTATACTGAGGCAATTTTCACTTGCAAATAGCAGCCATCTGTTTCTCATATAAAGGAACATTAGTGTAGCTACGTGAAACCTCGTCAGGTGCAGCGCATGTTAGGCGTTATCATGGCAGTAGCCAATTATTTTATTTTCAATGTCTAATAATAAAGGTGAAGGTCTGATGACAGAAACGTATCATGCCATTGGTTGTTACGGATATTTTTTACGATGGGCTACGGCGTGCATATTTCTTGCAGTCACGTGGTGATCTGGAGCATCAGACGATTGAGACAGCAAGTACGAGTGAGGCGGTGGGCTTTATCACTCAAGTGCAGTCTCTCAAGCGCAAGATGAAGAACTGGGAAAAACAGGTTGAGGTGTGTAACAACAATAACACTTTTCAAGTGTGGCAGCGTAGAATAGTTTACTGTTAGCTTTATATTGTATTGGTTCAGGGTTAACTCTGACATCTCATGATGCTGATAAATTTTTTTGAACATCGAACTAACAACAAATAACTTGTCGAGGTGATTCTGATGGATGTCACCACAGAGACAGATAAGATAAGAAAGATAACTACAGACAAATGTAGAAATGAACATTGCAGTATCAACAGTGACAATGTAACAGAGATTCAGTGTTTTGTGTTTCATAAGTGGTGTAATTGTATGACCGGCTACATGCACTAATATATCCTTCATCTTATTTTTAACTGTTTATATGAATCCATATCTGCATAATCAATTAGTCTGTTTTAACCCCGTACACATTCTGTTCAGTTGTACAAGGAAGGGCAGAGGCTGCTGGAGAGACAACGCTTCCAGTTCCCTGCACAGTGGCTGCACAGTGACAACATCGAGGGAGAGTGGGGTGCCTTCAATGAAATTATCAAGCGCAAGGACAGTTCCATATCTGCACAGGTTCGATTAATTTACTTTTATTACGAATTTTATTAATGCCTTAATTATAACCTGTTTCCTCAGCTCTGTGATACCAGTGGGTGTTCACCTGATAATATCACCTGGTATTTTCATCAAGGAGTTTACTGTAAGTGCTCAAAAGTAGAATGGCGAAATATTCTTTGCTGGGAACTTTTGTCTGCTGTGCAAAAGTTATTTTTCAAATTTGATCATACTACCTAGGTGGCAAGCCTGCAGACGAAGATTGTGGCTGAAGACCAGTCTGTGGAAGTGCGTACCGGTGACATGCTGAGTGAATGGGACAAGAACAAGCCAGTCGAGGGCAGCATGCGTCCTGATTCTGCATTGAAGGCACTTTCCATTATGGATGGAAAGTTTACACGGCTGAAGGAAGATAGAGAGAATGTGACAAAGGCAAAAGAGGCGCTGGAGCTACAAGAACCAGGTGATTTTCTCTTGCTAGTTCCCTCATTCGACATCCATGTATGTGTAGGTGACATGTAACACACTTCAGTCTCAGTAATCACATAGTTATAGGCAGGGTATGAGCTGCCAACATTTGTATAGTATTTAGAATGTTGAAAGTCCAAGAGGGTATATAGTTAATGACTTTCGTATCCCATGGACTGCAGGAATGGTAAGTCCCACAGAGGAGAGGGTCCAGGTCGCATTGGAGGAGATGCATGACTTGAAAGGAGTCTGGCAGGAACTGGCCAAGGTCTGGGAGAAGGTTGATGAACTGAAGGAGAAGCCCTGGCTGTCGGTGCAACCAAGGAAGGTCAGTCTGTAATCATTTGAAGCAAACAGTTGTTGTACTGATATCCACCTGATTCTGTATTTGCACAGTATTATAATGTCTAATTATTGGTGTCTAATTTATACTGAATATGTACACTAAACACATGATCTTGGATGTACGACGTTATTCTGATTTACACTAAACACATGATCTTGGATGTACGACGTTATTCTGATTTGTTTTGAATGTCTCTTTGTAGCTACGTCATGAGCTCGACACGTTGCTTAGTCAGCTAAAAGACCTACCAGCCCGTCTACGTCAGTACGCCTCTTATGAACACGTCAGGAGACTGCTGCAGGGATATGCCAAGGTCAGTGGCATGGTGATACACAATCTCAGCATTGTGCACAATGTGAAGCAGGGTATTCAGCAAAATAATGAATATTAATTAATTAATTAATTAATTTTTAATTTGTGTTTATTTGGGATTATTCTCGTATTTAAATTCTCGTATTTAATGTACAAAATATGTTAATGTATATGTTATGTTATATGTAAATATATATTATATTATATTTAAACATTTTATGTATAACAAATATTTAATATAAAAGTTTAAAACGGTTATTGCGAGATTTTTGCTCAGAAAAACTAAATAAAGCTAAATATAGTCTCACCTGACAGCGGAAATATCACTGATTACACCAACATTAAATGTACTAAGATTTTACGCAGTTATAGCAGAGAAAAATGGATTTGACCACATCGTAACAGCAATAAATTTTATCGGGCAGAATTGGTAAAATTGTATTTATGTCCGTGATGGATTGAAAACAAGTGCATGGCTGTACTATGTCTATGGCAGATAAGCGGTGGCGCCACAAGCTAATCCATACTTCCTGTTAGTTCAAGATGACAGAAAACAGGAAAACGAATGTTTACAAAAACAATTAATTCGAAACTGGCAGTTTTCGGTGAATACGCAGGTTCTAAGACATTTTATTGTTACTCTAGACAATTAGTGTTAATTGTATTCCCCGCCACGAAGTCGGCCGCCGCCGCCGCCGCAGACACTTTCCCTTCCGCTCTATAACTCGACCCCTAATTGACATGGTCTACTTACACATCTTGAGTAGAAGGTGCGCAGCGTACCAAAATCACGTCACTGCGGCTTTTATTTGACCTTGACCTTGACCTTGACCATATTTCTCTTCCGCTCGATAACTCCGCCTTTAATTGACCTAGCGCGAGCAAACTTCGTATACTTACACATCTTGGGGAGAAGGTGTGTCGCGTACCAAAACCCCTAAGGCAACCAATTTTGACATACTTGCACATCTCAGGCAGATGAGTTGTGTAACAAACCTTTGTCTTTGTGACTTATTTAACTTTACCTGCCTTCTACGTCCTTACAGAGATATTTCATTCATACTAGCTCTAGGGGGATACATGTAATTGGCGACAACTGCCCTTTCTAGTTACAGATGATAATGATTATTTTAAAATCAGCCATTATGGTTGAATGTTTTAAAATATGCTTACCATATAATTATTATAAGCTTCTGTCTACTGACTGAATTTGCAGTAGGATATGACTGAATTTTTACTTGTGATGACAAGTTTTGGTGGTTATTAAGCATAATGTAAAAATTAATAAAGGAATTAATATAATAACAGACAGTATATGTTAGAGAGAGACACACACACATAGAGAGAGATTAAAATAAAAAGTTATTTTATTTAAAGGTGGCTTCCCACGAAATTTCAAGTGGCAAACATAAAATCAGGCAAAAATGAATTATGTTACCATTGCACGTTTGTACTTGCCCATATATGTGTGATAGATAAAAAAAATTGCTCGGGAATACGTTCATTCAAAGCTTTTAGACTACAAAGTGAAAGTGTCGGGTCAAATGTTTCAAACAGCGTTTACTTTTGCCGCTTTGCGGCGATGTTGTGACGTATTACGTCGTCATCAATAAGTGAGCCTATGCACAGAACCGTGGCGAAAAGCGATTTTAGAGTTGTGTTTTTAATGAGCAAACATAGGCTTGATACATATTTTTACAGTTTTATTTTCAAAGCTAACGTTCAGTTAAAGTGGAGTGAGTTATTTACTTACGTTTTTACAGTGGTTTGTTACAAAAATGTGCGTGGGAAGACATCGTTAATAAGTTAATTAGTTTCTACACCATAGATACTTGCTATGGGCTATGTATGCGTCACGAGTGTATGTTCACATCGAACAATATAGTAAAATAAGAAGTATAATGCAGCAATTTAACCATAAAAAGTGAACAGAATTACTTATATTTTGTGAAAAAATGGAAATATTTGTTACTATTTACGGTGACGTAATCACTGTAATACATATTTTTACAGTTTAATTTTCAAACTGCGTTATTTACTTACGTTTTTACAGTGGTTTGTTACAAAAATGTGCGTGGGAAGACATCGTTAATAAGTTTATTCGTTTCTACACCACAGATACTTTGTTGTTGTATATAATAGGTATTTAAGGGCATGCTAAATGTCAGGTTACGTAGCTGCTGTCATGTGTCTTGATTATCAAAAATTGGGGAAAATTGCGAGCATCTTACATACCATTGCAGCTGTGTTCTG